CGATAGAAATCTTTTTGCGACGACTGTGTGGAAGAAGAAAAGGCACGCTTTCGCAGGCTTTGGTACTGAGATACCTGCGTCGATCTGAAAAAACGAAATTAATAAAGTGAATGTAAATATATGTAATTAAACTTTTATTACTAAGCTCATTAAACTACCTTGGTTGATTTTCGTGCATCTTCTTTCTTTTTCCACGAGTATTTGTAGATGAAAAAAGTAAATTTGATTGGGTTAAAGACCAATTGCCCGATTGAGAACCAAACTCGATATTTGCTATTTAAAATTAAACAGTCAACTTTAAATAAGAGAATCAAATAAAGATGCATGTCCCAAATAATAAGGAAAATTTCATACATGGGTCCATGGTTAACGGGAAATCGAGGTTGTCATCTGTCGCGCGAATTAAAACTTCCCGGTCGTTCTTTTGTTCGGATCGTATCTGTTCAGCAATACCATTAGTAATAAATAAATTTAAGATAAATTTGGGATGCCTATATACAGAAATTCGTTGTAATAAGAGAGATGCAATTTACTTTAGCATTGATTTGTTGCGTGTTCACGAAAAGAGGATTCATTGTGCTATTAAATCTCCACGAGGTGTCGATATCGTCATAAGTATCCCCAAATTTAGAGTGCGGTAACGGCTGATCAAATATGGGCTTATTGTAATCAATACTTTTCTTTGATCCCTCAAGTAATAAATAACATGCATAATGTAGAAAGAGTGTTTCGATTTCAGGACTATACAGATTTCTATTATGTAAAAGATATTAGAAAAAAGGCAATAATAATAATAATAATAATAATAATAATAATAAATATAAAAAATAAAATAAATTACCCGACAAGAAATTTTAACCTCGTAAATGTGTCACGTGAGAGCTCTTGTTGTCCGTGCCAGAATTCTGTCAGCGTTTGTTGTATACTTTCATTTACATCTGCCAATCCTCTTAATAGACCGGATTTAAGTTTTTGTTTAACCTTTTTATCTTTCAATGATTCATCAGAGATACTATTATATAATTGAATCAAAATTGCGTAAAAAGATTTCTGCGAGAGAAAAAGTTAAGAATATTCAATCATCAACATAACCAAGCCAATTATTTTGCAAAGGATACACGACACTCAATATTTGGATGGTCATGAAAGCTTTCAATCAATGTTTCCAAAAAATAATCGACCAGCTCAGAATCACCTTGCTGCTTTAAAACGCCATTTAAAATTCGCAGAGCAATAAGCTGTTCATTTTCATTCCTGCGTAATTAACAAATATGTAAGAAACCCATAAAACCTTACTAAAGCCAGGATACCTACCTGTGTTTGAGCAAATTAAGAAGCTGGGGTTTCTTCAGATTTGTAAGTAAATCTGGCTCAGTTTCAGCGCAATAGGAAATAAGCTCCAAGGCTAGAAACTTTTTATCGTTGACCGCATTAAGACGCGGTAGAAGGTTGAAAACATAACGAAGAAATTTTTCCGATACTTGAGGATCATGCATAGCGATGTGGTGCACACATGTAAGAAATGCGTTAGCATCGGCCTGTTTATTCATGACCTTCTGGTATAAGGTGGCCACCTATTGACATATATTTGTGGTTGAATAGGCAATCATTAACTGTGTAATTAATCGTTTCCATAAAATACCATTTCCTGCGTGGGATCCAATAAAACAGTTATGCGGCCATCTGAGCAATGATACTTTCTGAGGTGTTTCAAGGCCATGCCGCAGACCTAAAGACAAATAATAACGATAAATTCTCGCATATGCATTACAAAAACACGATATCATCAAAATAAAGAACCTCCGCGCAAAGATCACGAATCGTATATTTGGTGTGACTCAGTTTTTTGGCAAGATTGCGATAAAATTTCTCATCTGTCAAATCACCTAGATCAATTCCGACTTCCTGTTGAAAAGGTTTTTTTTCATGTGCCAATACAATTCCCAAGAGTTGCAAGCCTGCCAATATCTTATTCTCTTCTGAACTATTGATGTAATCGTAAATTACACGCTAAATATTTGAAAAGGATTGCGTTTTAATATCACCATGATAAAAAACAGCAAAAAAGAAAAGAAAAGAAAGCTCATTACAGTTGGAATGACAATGAACTCATGCCAAATTTCAAATATTCCTTTAATGGTTTGAAGGTTGTTTCGAAAGACGGCACGATTCTTATGACAAACGTTTCGCATCAAGAAATTCTAAAATAACAAAAAGAAAAAATATCAATATTTATTATAAAATGGGATACGAAACTTAATTGATCTTTACCAATAACTCGTAAATAAGAACTTTATCTTCGTATGATTGCAATTTTATCAATGAACCCCAAACAGTGATGACAACACATAAATCCTGTAAAGTCCATAAAAATTAGAATTAGCCTTGTTTGATACAATAATTTGCAATATTTAATTACCTGGATAAAGTAATTGATCCCTTCACCATAAGAGTCACCTTCAATCACCAAGTTCATCAATGGTCTGATCCAAAATGATGCGTATTTTTCAAATGCTTCAGGATAATTGATAATAATTTTTGCAAGAAAAAGCTTGATGTTGATGTGCGTTTCTTTATTGTGGAAAAATGCTATCTTAAATAAAGAACTACTTGAATATTAAATGGTAAATAAAGAATGAACGGCGCCAAACCTTTTCTTGTAAACTTCTTGTGCATCTCGTTCATCCACCCCGGCATCGAATCAGCCAATTCGGTAGGAGGTGGAGTGATGCTCGAATGAAGTCGTTCGATAGCTTTGATTATCATTTTCATGCACGGATTGAGATTTATGATGTCAACTTCAAACTCCCTAGAGTTAGAATTTTCTCTAATATTTCGCCATAAAGAAAATATAGGTTACTAAAAACAATGGTATATAATTAATACATAAGTTATCAGAAAACTATATATTACTGTGATAATTCGGAAGCTTCCATTTCCAGGTCCATTGGTTCGTCATCGCGAGAATTTTCATCGACCTCTAACAAATCAGTGTTCTTTCCAACAAATTTAAAGGAAATTAATAAAAAATTAGTAACTATTTAGATAGAAACCAAATTCCTGTAATATACAAACCTGAGTAATGCTGGAGTCTGAAAGATATTGGGAGGCCAAGTATTTTAAACTGCTAGATCTGAATTAAAGAAATCGATTAAAGCAATTTAATTTGTACGGACGATAAAAAGAACCCTCAACTATTGGGTATGGCTATTTACTTGTTCACATCTTGAAAAGAAGCGTCAGATTTAGTTCGAAAATCGTCAATCCTGACATTGAAAAAAGGCTGTTCCAGGTCGACTTTAAAAGAAACTTTAGTCTATTAATGGGAGTAATAGGAAATACATATTGCACGTCAGTCACATGAAAATGAATGCTTTTGAAACAAAGAAACAACTTACCTCTAAATCGACAATATTTTCCCATATGAGCTCTCCATTTGCAGGATTTCCTGCAAACAAAAAGGTTTTAAAAAATTGTTGACTAGATTGAGTGCGTATTATTGCTGCAGCCAATGCGTTATATGCCGCACATCGAAGCAGGAAAAGAGCTTCCTGAATTTCTTTGCTCATAAATTCCCCCTAGGTATGGGTTAAAAATTAGTCAAACATGATAACGAGTAAAAATCATCAATTATCCGATTGGCTTTACCTTTTCCCCTCTCGATTTTATCTTATGGGAAATCTCCATTACTTTCCGAGTTAATTCTTTCGATTTCACTTGTCTACCCTGACAATAGGCTTTAACAATTTCACCTTTTTCTGAATAGATGTCCTCTTCTGTGACACGAAGATAAAGAAAGTGAATAAAAAAGTCAAGGCAACAAAACTTCAAAAAATAATTAAATTAGGAAGATAATAAAAAAAAAAAAAGGATATTTGCAATAAGACAAGAACACCGGCTTTTGCGTCAAGTTCATAAACTCTTTCTTGTTCAGTCCTAGTACGATTTTCACGTTCAATGATGTCAACCAATTCTTTGATATGCTTCTTATAGAAATCGACTACAAAGATCTTCGATCCTTGCATCAATACAGGAGTAAGAATCGAATGAATGATATTTCGATGAAAGTTTGCGAAATTAGAATCCCGAAAATATCTGAAACGTGCATTCCAAGATGAAGAAATAAGTAGCAGAGTAGACTAAAGCAACAAGCAAATTGTTGAGAAAATTCACGGATAAATACCCGAAAGCAATATCTGTCATTTCCTCAAATTTGGTGCGAGGAAGCTGCGAAACAAATTTCCCCAACTGTCTTTGAAATTGATCGCTATAGATGTGATCTGTTTCCCGAACGAAAGTGGGCACCAGGATTTTAAAAAGATTAACACTGTTAGACTGAACCATCGTTGTAAGTAACTTGTCCAAGACCGTAATATATTCATTCAACCTAATAACTAGTTAAAAAATAATACGATTGCAAAGCACAAACTTTTTCTTTCCTTCCTTTAGAAATATATAAAATATCAGTTTTTTTGAATTTTTGTTAAAGGATACATTTTAGGGCCCTTGAGAGAATATTCGGATGATAATAGCGGGAATTGGTAATTCAACATTTCAGTAATACACATTTCGATCTAGAAAAAAAAAAGGAAATAAAATATACTGATACACTTAAAGCGTGGCAAGAATCAAAATAAGAATTGGGACATGAACGCGATACCTCGTCTTTTGGCATGTCTGATCTTAAAAATACTGGCAACAAATCACATGCTTCGCTTTTAAAAATAAGATCTGTCTCTCGTCTCAAGAACGAAACATACAATTTGTGGAAAATCTTCTTGAACTCAACCAACAATGGACGTTTCAGCAAATCGAGATCCAACTTAACAAGAACCCTCCAGAGTCTCAATAAGAAACGTTGATCCCGGGAATAAGCCTTAACACTAAAAAAAAGAATCTTATAAGAAAATATGAAACAATTAAAGCCAGCATAATTTATTCACATAAACTCACAACTGACTGAGAAAAGATGTGGACGAAGCAAACTATTTTTTTAAAAAAAATCAATGTCAGCCATAAAAATATGTAATAAACATTAAGCATTAATTTACCGACATCATTCAGAAACTTTGTTGTCTGTTCAGGATCCTTTTTGTATATCAAGTAATCAACAATGTTCAACAAGACATCTTTGATGATTGGGTCATTAATATTTTCGCAGAAAATCGAAGCATACTCTGCAAAATTCCGGGAAAGATGGTTGTTGATCTTTCACAAAGAATCAAATATGATAAGAACGTCAAATAACGTAATATGTGGTTTGATAAAAACCAAAACACAAAATGTACATACACTTGTAGAAAATTTTTGATAATACATGCATCCATCCTGATAACCTAACATTGATTGGTTGCTCGGAAACCCCTGAAAAATTAATTATTTGTTAATGAAATTTACAGATAAAAATTCAAATCGCGAATCTACATACGAGTAAATCTTGAAGGAGCCATGTGTTAAGAGTATCGAAATTATTAATCAAAACTAACGCAAGTAAGTTATCCAACAACTCGATCCAAAGAGGATCCTTAACATCTCGAAGAGACACAATCTTTCTCCATAAAGCTGAAATATAGGAGTAAATTGTCGAATGATGGATCATGTCTGAAGAAGTAAAATGAAATAAATCATGCAATGTGCCGGTGGTACTGAGAATCCTGAATCCAAAAGCCATACTAATATAATGAGTAGGATCTAAAGAAAAAATATTTGAATATAAATTGATCGTGCGTTCTTTTTATGGTAGTATATTTTAATAGTGACTAATACCTGACTTGTCAAATTCAATATTCAGCAAATCGACATCTGCGGAAAACGCCACATCAGCAATCTCTCGGAAACACTGGTTCAACTGAGGACCACCAATATGTTTAATTAATCTCAAGAGAGTGCACAACTTTTTCGAAAAATCCTTGTATGTATTGCCATCAGGCATCAATTTCTCGGAGTAAAATAAGCACCTTGCTAAAGTCTTGAAAAACAAAACATTATAAATTGCCGCACCCCATACATCGAAATCATTATCAACCGAGACCTCAAGATGCGCGATAACGAAATCGATAAAGCGATTGATCATTTTTGCTCGAAGATTTATCCATCGCGATCGTTCAGCTGGTGTCATGATCTTCTCTGGGTCAACTACAACGCTAGAACTTTGGTGATGATCAATTTCCATGACATCAAGAATAGGTCTTAGATCGGCGACCAAAACCATTTTGTCCAAGAAATAATTGATTGCCTCGAGGAAGTTAGATGTTTCATTTCGCATCAAAACTTCCGGGGTCACAAATTTTTCTCTAATGAGCCATGTATAATTTTCCAAGACAGACAAGAAACGACCACACCATTCTTTAGTATGATGCTGATTTCTGCTTCTTTCTTGATCAAAAGATGACAGCGCAGAAGTTTTGTAAAGATCCGAAAGGAATAAGGGCTGTCTGGAAACTTTGTCCATGATCCAACGCGAACCGTTTCGAAAATCTAAAACAAATTAAAAATTAAAAGATATATATATAAATCTGTATATTTTTAGACGTACAATATCGATACTAAACATGAAACAAACATCAACCTGGAAGCAATTTAATAAATTCGACGAACAATTCCCGGCACATACTAGCATAGTCACTCTCTCTACGACTTGTTTCCACGAAAAGCCAACCCACCAAAGATGATAAATCTGCTCTGTTGAGTCCGTGAAACGTTCGTCTATTTTTTGTTTCTTTTAGAAACAATTGATGTTTGACGTTTATTATTTTCTTTAAGTGACGAACCGCCGCAATCGCTTGTTGCCTGGTTCCTACAAATTGAAAGAATATCATAAATCATAAGTAAAGAATATCATTTTTATAGTAATAAACATACCTGTGGCATCTTGATCCAGTTCAGACAGCCTTAAGTTGAACAACATCCAATACAAAAGCTCGAAGGTAAATTGATTAACGAGATATTCTTCTTCACGAAAAACCCTGTAAATGTGATTAACGGCCAAAGAAGCGCCAAGACGCTTCGCATAGTCAGGGTGCGCAGAAAAATCGTATAAACGTTTAAATAACGATTTCATATTCATTGGATTCTCCTCTAATTGCTGTAATAGAAGAGTAAAATAACGCCATTACAAGAAGAATTTTATAGCGGTAAACCAAAAAAAAAAATTAAGAATCATACATGTTCCGAAGATTGTTTAATTGACCATAATAAGAACTCATTAAGACATTCAGCCCCATAATCTCTAAGGGAGCTCCAAGAATCACATATCGCATCAAGGCAACATTGTAGCAGAGCAATGGTCTCCGGGTTCTCATATTGTGCATTGTTAGTGAACCAGTGTATCATTTGAGAGACAAGTCTTTGGAACAATTTTCTTGGAACTTGATCACTGTCAATTGCCAGGCGCAATAGAGCAGGAAAGATGCGGCGATACGTTTTAGAAAACGGACTCTATATATAACGACAAATAAGTAAATTAGGAATGAGTTGCCTCAAATAAAAATAAAAATATCTAAAGACCTCCTGGGGACCCTTTGTGCTGCGAACTTTTAGCGCACTTTTGCCAATCATAAACAACATTATTGAATGCAAAAGTTCGCAGGCGACCACCTTTGTTTTTCTGTCGGGAGCAGATTCTGCCAATTCAACAATGCGAGGCAAGAATTCGTCTATTATATAGTTTGCAAAAATTATAAAATATATTATTTCATTCATAAGAAAAGATGAACAATTTATTCCATCAAGGCTTACCAAATAAAATATTGATTCTGCTATCAGGATATGGGATGACAAAGGATAAACGTCTCTCAGGATCCCAAGCAAGAATATTATTACTCTTCGAACTTTTATTTTTGATTCCAGGCGATTTAGAAGGCGAACTAGACACGTGCGCCAAATCATCATTTACTATATCCTCAAAGATCGATTTGCTGAGCCCCCCAAGTCTGCCAAGTATTCGAAGAATACGAACTTGTAAATCGTGTAATCCAACATTCCTCTCAAGCTGACCTACCTAAAAAAAAATGCAAATACTAAATAAAATAATAACTTATACATAAACCGAAAAAGAAATTACATACCCCTACTATGGTTTTCGCTGATTTTATTAACCCAGCTTCTCTGATTTTTTGTTTTCGTGCCTTTTCCACTGACTTTAAAGCCCTCCTATTTTTTTGAGCGTTTTCCCGAAATTGTGCAATCTCCTTTAGGGAATTATCCATCATGTCAGACTTAACTAACAAATATTCGTTGAAAAATGGCAAGATCTGTCCAAGCCATTTACTTAAATCCCGAGGACCTTTTAAATCTATTATCTTTTCGATTGCATCCAAACCAATATTAGCAAGCGGCTGGTGATTTTTTCCTAACTTTAGCACAATACATATTGGCGATATAAGATCATCAATATGCAAAAGTTCTTTTGGAACGGAGAGGACAAAACGAAGGCACGATGCTAATAAGTCGTCCTTATATTGACTCAATCGTGCACACACTTCCTTGAGAAATTTTGTGTAGAGAAAGTAACTCGCTCGTTGTATTATCGTCGCAGAAGATAATAATTGGTTACATAGGTCACTTTCGGCTGTACACTATAAAAGCACGCAGAAAATTTGCTCATCACACAAGCGCCTAATAACAAGAATGATGCGTATTTAAAGTTACCTCATTATCGGGTTTTTTGATACCATTAAAAAATTGAATGTCCTCGCATACTCGCAAACAAGATTCCAACATTTTATAAAAACCACTAACGTAAGGATACTGGATTGAGAATGATATCAAATTATCTCCAGATAGATAAACCCATCTAGAAAACAATCTTGGCTTAATCCGCGGTAAAAACAACTGCCAAAAGTCAACGAGGTTCTGATATATGACAAAATCTTTGGAAACTATAGGTTGCAGATTTTCCAAGTCACCGGATCCCGCAATCGCCACTAGATTGGAGTCAATGTTCTCATAATTTTTTTCCGTTTCAGAAGTTATCGTGCTAGTTGTATCGTTCGTTGAAACATCAACTACTTTAAAGTTAAGCGTCCGAATCATTCGAAATACAGCTAAAAAAAATTCATCATAAAGAATCGAAAAAAACTCCTTGGCATTTTCTCCATTTTCGAAGTTTATACTTGAATGTCCATTCTGACGATTAGCCCACGACAAAGTTGATTCCTTGAATATGTGATCCCAAAAATCGAACATTTCTTGATACGTATGATCAGCAATGATGTCGATAAAATTTTGGGCGTTTCGGTTCTGGTCACTAGAATGTTTTTGACTTTGAATTGTATCGGAGCAAGTTAAAATTAATGCCTGATAGACTGAAAACAAAAAAAAAGTTAGATAGTTTCTTATAATGAGCTATATCACAATAGAGAATTATAATATGATATAATCAAGACATAACAGACTCACATATTTTAGAGATAAATTTTTGCAAAATACCAGGACCTTTCTCATATAACACCAATAATAGCTGTTCGAACACATTTGCACTGCGAAGGCGTAAATCATGTGTCAATCGAGGGTAGTATGTTAACATTGTTATCACTTCCCGCTCGATGGTTTCCATTAGTTCATCGAAAATAACATCAAATTCTTTGCCAATATAACAATAAGCTTCGATGAACAATGGAATCTGTGAAACGTTTGCCAAAGTCTCTGTTTCATTTGCACTATTAGAGCCAATACCGCAGATAAAGTTAACAAAAAGAAACATTATTTGGAAGTTATATTAGAAAATCGAGATGATCCCAAATACCTCAAGACGGCCCAGGTAGTTGGTTTTAACAGATCGTGAAATAATTGTTGTAATCTATTCTCATCCATTATCCTTTTTGCTGGTGCCGCAAAATATCCCACACCTCGAACAGCAATGGAAAGGTCCTTTGGGTGCCGATCTTTTTCTTCATCTTCAAACTTTTTATCCTGCTTAGAATTGCTCGTTTTCCATATGTTGACAAAGATAGATATAAAATGCTAGGTAAGAAATCTATGATTAGTAATCCAGAATATTCGAGAGGTCAAAGGTATTCCAAATGTTCAGCTTACATTAAT